GGGAGTTTTAACAGGTTCAAGGCCAACTTAGGCTACAAAGCAAGACTTACTGTAAATAAATAATAATAATAAAATAATAATAATAATAATAATAATAATAATGGGCTTGAATTTTGCACATGAAATTTCAAGTCACCCATGCTCTAGAAAGCTCTATTCCTATTTCCTTTGCCTTCCTGGTGTACTACCCAATGACTGGGGCTCAGGCATAGGCCTGAAGTCCTTAGAGGAGGAGCCAGGCTCCCTGACAGCCTTTCTACCTCCTTGCTGTTGTTGTGGTCTGTCAAGTTCTCTTGGCCTTAGCCAAATCTGGGTGTACCAACGTTGCTGTGAGACCTAGGGTGACTGTCCAGGTAGCTTGCTCTTTCTGTCCTTGCTGCACCTTTTGGAAGTTGCCCATCCGCACTTCCTGTCTACCCTAGTATTATTTTCCTTCTCAGGTCTTAATGAGGTTGAAGATTAAACTATCACAACTATTATTCTCTCTTCCTAGTTATATTAGGTACTAGACTTACGTTTTCCAGCTTAGGACAACTCTATTGTAAACTCCGTTATGCCTTCACCCTAGGACTAGATATGTAGGTCATTTTGTTCTTGATTTTCCTTTTCTTAGAGCACACTTGTATTCACTGTTTTGTATAGTTTTGTATCAAGCCTAAATCTTTTCTTTAGACTAAAAGGGGAATTGTAGAGGGATATTCACTTTGTCTCCTTCTGTGGCACTGACTATGCCCATTGGGGGGGGGGTGGAGCCATGGGCGGAAGTGACCTGTGGAAAGAGGTCTGAGGAGGAGCCAGGGAAAGCTCTCTTGCTGGCGGGTCACGGAGAGGAGAGCACCAGGTGGAGCCTGCTGGTATTCATCTGTCTAGGTTGTAAGTTATTTCTCCCTGAATAAACATCTATTCGGCCTATTTGTTTATCCTGATCCTTATTTAACCGCAATAGGCTTGAATTTTGCACATGAAACTTCAAGTCACACTCATGCTCTAGAAAGCTGTATTCCCATCTCCTTTGCCTTCCTGGTGCACTACCCAATGACTGGGGCTCAGGCATAGGCCTGAAGTCCTTAGAGGAGCCAGGCTCCCTGACCAATCTCCTTCATCCAGGCACAGAAGCCATGTACTCTAACAATACAGTGATAACACTTGCTGTTCACCTTCAAGGTCCCCTGATAGCAGCACACCACCCTAGACTGGGACAAAAGAGGAAACTTCAATGGTTAATTCCTGGAGACATCCGAGAGCACCAGTGAATTTTTTTTCTGAGACAGGGTCTCACTGTGTGCTCCATGCAGGCCTAGAACTCATTATGTAGATCAAGAAGCCTTGAATTCAGAACCCACCTGCCTTTGCCTCCAGAGTGCTGGAATTAAAGGTGTGCACTCCGGGCTCAAGAATGTCTTCCCACCCTCCTGTCATGTCTCTGCCCACCACACTAGGTACTGACAGATGGCCAAGTGTTGAGTCAAGAACCTCCAGCTGTTTTTAAAAATTATTTATGCCTGTGTGTGTCCTAGGAGGCCAGAAAAGGATGCCAGGTCCCCTAGAACTTGAGTTCAAAGTAGCTGTAAGCCGTTTGATGTGAGTGCTGGGAATCTAACAGATCCTTGGACAGCAAGCTAAGCACTTAGCCACCTCTCCAAGTCACAGCTGTCCTAACAGTGACCATCCAGCCTGGTTTTCCTTTCCCTAACATCCCCCTGGGTATGAACACTGGCTGAGCAGCTCCACAGAGCAACTGATCTACAGCACCTTAAGGTGTCAAACACTTCACACTATACAGCAAACATTTGTGTCAACAAAAAGCCCACAAAAGACTTTTCAATCTGTAGCTGTTGACTCACCTCTGTGATCAACATCCATCGTCTCTAGGCATTCCCTGATCTGGATGAGGCTTTGGCAATATAGCCTGACAGCTAAAAGGTCCTATAATTTGTCTCCAGTCCATTTTAAGTATCTGCTCCAACAGGTGTTTGATCCAGGGTCCACTTGACCCTGGGAAAGGTTGCTTAGTATGTACCCCAGGGACCTACCCAGGTCCCTCAGTGCCAACCAGATGCAGTCAAGCGGGGGACTGACTGCACTGCTCAGAAGCCAACACAAGTTCCTGACTCTGCTGGCCTGCTATTGCTCCCAGCAGAGTAAGCTCGACACTGACTGAGATAAAGTTTCCCTGGGCCCAAGTTCCAAACTCTGCTGTTTTGTTTCTGTTAAAATGCAATTGTTTTTCTCTGGAGTGTGCAGTGACTGCTCCGCGTCAGGAAGATATATGAAAATCTCCACTTCAATTCAGCATCCCTTTTCTCCCAGACAAACATGGTCGGATTTTAATAAATCAAAGAGCTACAGTGTTTAATAAAAATTTATTGACTTACAAGTGATTATTTATCAAAAGACCATTAATAGCAGGTACTGAAATGATGTGTTACTGGGTGGTGCTGGGAGACTAATAGGAAATCAATGCTGCTGGCCGGACGGAATGCATATGAGAAGCCCACCCCCCCAACAGCGAGCAAAATTTCACCAGCAAAATACACCAGACGCTAGCCCTGGTGCAGTGAAAAGTTCCTCCTTTTTATTTATTGTTTACAAATGAAATAATCAATACTTTTAATCTAGAGCAAAATTTATTAACTTTCCCATCGGAGAGAGACATATTGACTAGGGGAGAGGGGAGTGAGTGCGATGGAAGATGGATGGCTAGATGGTCATCTCTTAGCCTGTCCAAGAGTCTGTGTGCAGGAGTTGGGATATCCCAGGCCACACAGGAAGGTGTACCTGGGGAAACTGAGTCTGGCAACTAAGATGGGCAGTGGGCGGAACCACCTGCAGCAACATGGTAGTATCTTTCAAACATCAGGGTCCAGCAGCGAACACCAGCCCAGAGAGTGGGAATTTGGTAAATTCTAGAAGGAAGCCACAGATTTTCACAAGGCAATTGGTTAGTACCCCCACTGACAAGCCTTTCTAGATCTAAATGCCTCTTGCTGCTGTCCTGGCCCACTGTCTCTCACACATCAAGGTTTCTTTCATTTCTTAAGGGTACCAACAGGGAGTGGTGCTGATACAAAACGGCTCCCATCAAGCTATGCTCATGGCCAGGGTGACACCCTTCTACTGAGCACCCATCCTGTTCTCGGTGGAATTTTACTAGCCTCATTAGAAAACTCTTTAGCTGATAAAAAGTCACATCTGAGTGAAAATTGTCGGCAATCCACAATCCCAACTACCCAGCATGTCTGAGCCAGGCATAGTGCTTAGCTTCCCAAGCTGGGTTTGCAGTAGGAGCCAAAAGCTCAAAATGGATGTTTCAAAACCCATACAATTTTAGGACTCAAAGCTCACATCTGAAATAAAGAGCTCAGTCAATAAAGCACTTGCATTGCAAGCATGAAGACCTGAGTATGAGTTCCTAGAACCAATATTTTTTTTTAAAAAAAGAGGAAGGTAGCTTCTACTTTTAATCTCAGTGCTGGAGAAGTGGACAGGACTCACTGGCCAATCCATCTAGGCCAAGGAGAGACCCTGTCTCAAAAACAAGGTGAGGCCCCACTGAAGACTGGACAGCTCAGGCTGTCCTCTGGCCTTCACATACTCTACTACTACACAAATGTACCCACCCACCCACACACAGACACATAGGCACACACATACACCTGCTGAAACTTCAGGTGTTTAAGGCCTCAGAAGTCACCAAATTTAAGTGAGAAAATGGACAAATAAAGACAATACAGGAAGGGAGCAGCAGGTTGACAAGTGGGACTGAAGGTCTCCATTATTTGGGCTGTCGCTGCAACCAACCCCACATCAAATCTCTGTCTTGCAGATAGCTGGGAACCTGCAGGACTCAGTTACCGATGGTAAACGGCAGACTAGCCTGAATGCCTGGACCTAGTGCTGTGGAAAGGAAAGACACACAAACTTCTCATGGTTCCCTGCTGTGTCAGTGGGGTAAGAGCCAAGTGAAAACAAGATTAAAAACTCCCTATGCTGGGCTGGAGAGACAGTTCAGAGGTTAAGAGCACTGGCTGCTCTTCAGAGGTCCTGAGTTCAATTCCCAGCAACCACATGATGGCTCACAACCATCTGTAATGGGATCTGGTGCCCTCTTCTGGCCTGCAGGGATACATGCAGGCAGAACCCTATATAAATAATAAAATCTTTAAAACAACAACAAAATAACCTCCCTACACAAATTGTGAAAGCAATAAACCATAAGCAGAAACTTTAAAGGATGGCACTGAAACACTACATTCTACATAAGCCGAAACCCACTTTTTATTTTTGACCATTTGTACTATAGTCCTCAAGAGGCTGTTCTCACAGTCATAGAAAGGTGTTTTTATTTGAAAAGTGTTTTCCACTGGGAACAGAGCAGGCAGGAGGAAATGGGGGGCTATGAGGTGACAGGAATGTAGGGGTGACACCAGTTCATAGCCCTGGGAGCCAGGCTGCACTCCCAGAATGGCCTCAAATCCCAGACTTGGAAATGGAGTATCTGCAACATTATGAAAAGTGCGGCGACTGTGTCACTATGAACAATGGCATGTGGGTGGAGGGTTGGTGGACCTCAGAAGTAACTGAGCAGCTGATATTGGGTCTGCCGTTAGTGGCTGCTGGGAGGCTTGCGGCCTGCCATTTCTCCTCCAGCCATGAGTGTATGCAGTGTGCCCCTGCCTCCTGCCTAACTCATCAATCAGTTCTCCCCAGCACTTTTGCTCCCTTTTCATACTAACACTTGCTGTTTCCCACACCCTCAAATCCAGAGCAGGGCCTCTCCGCAAGCTCATCAACAGTTTGTTTTTCATGGCTCTAATATGGGGAGAAAGCTAGAAACAATGTGGAAATACTTATTATGAAAGCTTACCCCCTCAGCAATACCACCCTCATTCCAGAGTTAAGTCAGACCCTGCTGCCCAGGGTCATTTTCAAGTTACCACAGTTGTTGACCGGCAAAAAAAAAAAAAAAAAAAAAAAAAAAAAAACCATTTCTCGGGGAGTGAAGGCAAAGTCCCTAAATTCATTTCCATCCAGTTTTATTTACTCACAAAACAAGTTAAAATTCTGGGCAGTAGCTGTGACCTCTGACCTTTGTCCTGCCACATTCTATGGAGCCGTCCCTGTGAGACCAGCATCCATTTCCTTCACATATACTAGCACTGGAACCCCCACAACAACCCTGTGAGGTAGGTTATCATCACCCTTTGCAATTCCATGTAACAGTTAGGGAAACCAAGACATAGTAAACAGATAAGTCATGTGGGGGACTCAGGCTCAGCCTGGAGGCTAGCTAACTGGCCAGGGGCCTACTGGCTTCTTCCTATCTCCTCTGGTGATCTTTGAAGCAGGAACACAGAACGTATGACTCCATCTGCTGAATGAAACAAACACTCCCATAGACGGTTTTCTTTTTGTCTCACCTAAAAGCTCCAGGCTGGAGGTTGTTTAGGCACCTTCCTCAGCAATGGCCCTTCTGACTTTCCCAGCATGTGGATGACCCTACACAGCAACGCCCAACACTCTCTCAGGGCAAGAATGGGGCCTGCCTTCCCACCAGCTAGCACATGACACAGCTGCTTTAATGGCATTCCTCTTAGAGGCTTACTGTAAAGGAACAAGGGGCATGTTTTGTCCTGGGGAGCCCAGGCAGCAGCACTCTGCTTAGAGTACAGCAGGCAGCCCATGGGGCTCTGAAGAAGCTCAAGGGTCCCGGAGTCCAGAACAGCCTGAGGGCCAGAGTCTGGAAGGATGCAGCAGTGGGCGGTAGGGATGGTGGTAGAGGTTGTGGCAGCAACAACTCCAGCTGACTCACTTGTCAGGATTTAGAGGTGGTGGCTCCAACCAGTGCCAGACATGAGGCTCAGGACCGGCTCCGGTCCTCATGGTTACCAACAATCATCTTGCTATACAATTTCTGCTGCTCCTCCTTGAATGTGTCTTTCACCTTTTCTCTCTTCAATCCACCATCCCTAAAAAGACAAAGGCAAATATAGCAGCAGAGAAGGCCAGTGGCCAGCTCTGCAGCACCACAAAGATGCATTGTATGGTTCAAATCTCAGGAAAATAGGCAGGAAACATGGAGCAAGCTCCTGTTCAACAAGTTTAACGACTGTAGATGCTAGAGGTTAATTCACACCCCACCTCACACCTGTTCTTGTAAACAAGTTTCAATGGGACACAGCTATGACTACTTGTTTGTGTATTCTCTTTGGTTGCGTTCACATCACATACAAATAGCACAAATAAGTGGTTGCAAGAGACCTATAAATTGTACAGACAGAGTATAACCTCCCGTTCTAGGACACAGGCAAGAGAATGCAGTAAAGGAAATGTCTACTTTGAAATTCTACATTCTTCCCTCTCTGAAAGTTTCCAAACGAAGTCAGGTAGGTCATCTCCACCTAGAGGCATAACAGGTAGTCTGTCTGGAAGCCCCAACAGACTGGGCAAAGGGCCACAACTCCATGTTCCGGAGGACAACACAGCACTGACATTATAGGTTAGAACTAGGGGAATTGAGTGTGGCCATTCCTTCTCTAGGGCCAGCAGGTTTCATTCTTTGAGCCAGGGAGGAAGTCCTTTGCCTCAGAGGTGCATATTCTCTGGGCGGGTTCTACTCACCACAGAAGGTCTACCAATCCTCCCTGCCGGGCAATGGCAGACTTCACCCGGTTAGCAAACTGCACAGCATCTTCATCTTTCTGTAACAAAGAATGAATGAAAACAGTCTGTCAGACTCCTGAATACCAAAGCAAGCCAAGACTTGCACTGGAGGACTGGAGACACCTACCTCTCTGGTCATAGGAGGCAGGTACCAAACACTGCAGACAATAGCCCAACTGGTCATCATTCTCAGTAAGTATGTCACCATCCCATACTTGCTGCTGTTCCAGAAGGCATCACCAAACTGAGGGTCATACTGCAAAAGGAGAGCAGACTGGATATTAGGAATACATATGCACCTGTGACCGTGCTTGTGAAGGGTCCACAGGGGCAGGGATCTATGTTAGAGGTATTCCAGGCCCAAGAAAACACTGCTGAAATGGCTCTAAAGGCACGTGAGTCTGACTTCCAGCCCTCCAGGTTCAACCAGGCCATCAGGGAGGTCTTTCCCTAACCATCACACCAAATAGTTCCTGCCTCAGATAGCCTCACCTTGCACTCACAAGCAAGCATACAGGTTTCATACAATCCAGAAACAGAATGCAGAATAACACACTATCAACACTCATTTCCTAGATTCAATAATTAGGAACAGTCCACTGTGTTTGCTTCACGCATCCTTTCCTCTCAAAGCATCTACTTATGTGTGTAAAGTTTATCTAAATGAAGTCATCTTCATACATCCCCGACTTTTTAATGGGACATTCAAAGGAGAATTTTTGATGCTCCAGACCAAGAAACACTTAAGAAAGCATGCAATATACTATATTAAAACTTAAGTGTTCCAAAAACAATTTACATATTTACGATTCTAACAAAGAGAATTTCTGTTCAGGCAGAAAACTCTGCTAATTATATCACCAGGATCCATTAGCAAATAGATCCATACAGGATAATCTCATGAGGTCTCAACAAGGCAGGTGTATTAGGTTTGTCAACAACTTTAATGCAGAGAAAGGCTAATTCCAAGGTGTTCTGTGAGAAAATATGATTGTAGGTATTGAGCTATTAGGCCACAGTAATCTCAGGGGTAGGAAAGCCTGGTGAGAAGTAACAGGAAGAGCTGAGTTCTTGAGAAGGCTGCCTGTGCAGAGCATGGGTGGTTGCTCCCAAATGTTTGAAGAGACAGAAAGGCAGTGCATTGACTGCAGAATCACAAAGCAAAGAGTCTGCACAGAGAATGCATAAATAAAAGAAGAGTTTCAAGCGCTATCCCACAGGTCCAAGGTGCCACCACTATTGCCTTCCCTGGCAGAAGGATGCATACAGAGTACTGTCAAGGAGATTCATGTGTTAGTGGATGGGGCTTCAACTGTCCAACTTCCCACACTAAGTTTATGATGTCAGAATAAGAACTGAGCAACTATGTTGAGATTAAGTCCTTACTATAAAAACAGAGACTTAACAGAAATTAAGAAACTTAACACCTTAATAACCACTAAGAGGAACTGGAGAGATGGCTCAGCAGTTAAGAGCACTGGCTGCTCTTCCAGAGGTTCTGGGTCAGCATCTACATGTCAGCTTACAGTCATCTGTAACTCTGGTTCCATGCATTCTGATATTCTCTTCTGGCTTCCTCAGGTACCATGTGCATAAGTTATGCACAAATACATGCAGACAAAACACCCATATACATAAAATTTAAAAATAGCAATAGCAGGGGCTAGAGAGATGGCTTCAAGGCTACTCTCTTCCCCAGCACCAACATGGCAGCTCACAACCATCTGTTAACTCCAGTTCCAGGAGATCCCATATCACCACACAGATATACATGCAAGCAAAGCACCAATGCACATAAAATTAAAATTACTTTGTTAAAAACAGCAACAATGAATTTTTTTAAAACCATTAAGGGAGACTAAAAATTTAAAACAAACCCACGGTATATAGTTACAAAGACAGCACAGCTAACTACACATACTAGAGTATATCTGTCATCCCAGCTACTTGGAAAACTGAGGTAAAAGGATAATTTTGAGCCTAGGTAACACAAGGAGAGCCTGTTTTAAAACATAAAACTGACTCTTGTTTTAAGCACATGAGCAGAAGCTGTGTTAGGAGTAAGAGATGAACCCTCTGTTTAGGGCTGATTCTCTTTCCATGCCAGGCAGACACCACAGCAAAGCAAGGCAAACAACATTCTCAGAGCCAGTGACTCGTGATTGTAGAAATGTAATAAAAGCACTGTCATCACTGTTGAGGTTACCCACGTCCAGATTCCAACAGAACTTCAGAGGACCTACCAATGTGATCCCCTGATTAGCAACAGAAATATCACCCAGGGCCTTGATAAAATGACATTTAGTATTTAGCATGAGGCCTGCCAATCTTTTTAACAACCCCTCAGATGATGCTACACATGCTAACACAGTGAAGGAAAAAAAAAAAAAAAAAAAAAAAGACATAGTTGATAGTCTTTCTCTCTCTCTCTCTCTCTCTCACACACACACACACACACACACACACACACACACACACACACACACACACACACACACCACTATGCTACACTGCAGGATGACAATGGTGGTGTGATGGCTGTTCTTGGTTGTTGACTTGGCTATACCTGAAATTAACTAAAACCTAAGGGGCTAGGTATATCTGTGAGGGATTTTTTTCTTAACTGACCATTTGACCTTTAATCTGGATCTTTTGTGGTGGGAAGATCCGCCTTTACTCTGGGCCACACTTCTCGTGGCAGCCTATATAAGACTGAAGAAGGAAGCTTGCTCCCTGCCTGCTTGCCATCACTTTCAGTGACAAGTCCATTCCTTCACCGACATTAGAGCCCACTTCTTTAGGATTCTGGCATATACTGAAGACCAACTAAGACATTAGCTGTATGGACTGAACAACTAACTATTGTATTCTTGGACTTTCTCCTGGGAGACAGCCATTGCTGAACTAGTTGGACCACAGCATGAAACCTAATCTAATAAATCACACACATGCACGTATACACATTCATTCAATCAGTTATTTTCCCCTAGAAAACCCTGACAAATACAGGTGGGATGTAGACTCCACTCTCTCATAACAGACCTTGTGAAAGACTATTTAGGCCAACCAGGCCTGTCTATCAGTGAGCCTACAGCCAAAATTCAGTTATTAGCGGGCCCAATTTTCTGCTTAGCTAATAGAAGAAGGTGTTGTCCACCTACTCAGGAGTTGGGCCAGCAAGCTAAAAACCAAGTGGGACACATTTTTATAACACTCTGCAAACAGATCCCAAAAAGGCAGGGGCTAAACTGAGTTGTTCACAACTCCTAGCCCTGTTCTAAATGTCAGCCTAAGAACACTGACACTACTGAAAACAAACTATTTGGGGAATATTTGAGGTCTAGGTTTGTTTTTTAGAAACAACACACATCTGCACTAGGCTATAAGGAGGGTGAGAGGATTGAGGAATACAGGGAAGCTGACTGGCTGAACCACCCCACATTTCCAGGGAGTCCTGGATAGGAACAAGAGTGAAGAAGCTCCCAGGATCCAGTTCATCATCACTGGAATACGGACAGTGAAACACAGTGCAGTGCAGTGCTTAGCTACAGTGTGACAAGGACCCATCCATTCTCTCCTCTCTACCCACTGCACCCGTCCAGCTTACAATCCCTCCACTGCACTGGAAGCAAGTCAGCTGTGCAATCTGAGTGCCCTGTATTTCAACAAAGTCACTGAAGAACAAAACTGTGAGGACACAATCACAGGGCTTAAGGACTTTGTGACTGCAGAACCTGGCAGCTCTGCTTCTCCCACATCCAGCCAGCATCCTCTTCTACTGCTTTGCCCACATGATCTGGCAGTGCTGGTACAGAGAGAGGAGCAGCCCAAATAGTTCACCAATTCCCTCCCCCACTTGTGCATCCAAGCTGGCCTCAGGGGTCTTGTACCTTGATAGCAACAGGGTAAACAGTGGCTCCAATTTCAAAGCTTCCTTTTTTGAACATCATCACTGATGTGTTATTGATGCAGGTTCCTGAAACACAGATAAGAAAAAAACCCTTCCTTTCTGGACTTCTACCCAGTGTTTCTTCAGCACAAAAATAATCCTCAAACAACCTAAGTCAATCATCGTTCAACTCATGAATGAACACTAAGGAAGCCAGACAAATGCAGCCCTCATTCCTTTTCCCCTTTCTCAGGCCACTGTCCCAGCCTTACGTATGGAGCAGGGATGCCAAGCAGACTGAGGGAGTACTCTGCCTGAGACTGAAAAGCTACCTGTCAGCAGTATCACAGAAAGGGATGCTAAAAGGCCCCAGTGTTACCCAGGGCTCAGAGTCTGGTCTCCCTCCCCAGAGTTACCCAGGGCTCACGGTCTGGTCCCCCTCTCCAGAGTCACCCAGGGCTCAGGGTCTGGTCCCCCTCTCCAGAGTCACCCAGGGCTCAGGGCCTGGTCTCCCTCCCCAGAGTTACCCAGGGCTCAGGGCCTGGTCTCCCACTCCCATCACTTTGTACCTTCTGGAAAGATGAGGATGGGCAGCTTACTTTTATCTTGTACATGCTCAGTCAGTCTTTAGGATACAGAAATAGAAAAGTCAATGATCTTATAGGCTACATATAGCAATAACATTTTTTGGCTTCTAGTCTGTATATCTCAGTAATGGACTATTTGCCCAGCATATACAATGCTCCACTCAGTACTACCACCCAGCAATACCCAAAACAAACAAGAATCACAGTTCCTAATTTGTTTATTGGAATGGATATAATGAAAATATAAATAACTTGGTAAATAATATTGGGTCCATTTACATCCTTCTTAGATGTCCTAAAACTTTATTACAACAACTGTATAGAATCAGTATAAAGGGACAACTTCCCTGAACATATTTTATTTTCTAACCAGACCAACTAAATAGCATTTTGCCCATTTACCTCTTGGCCACCAGGTGGCGATCTTTCACTTCAGAACGCTCAAACCAGACATGTGGGCATGCTTTCACCATGGCTCTTTGAATCACACCCATAAGGCCCCCGTGTACCTGCCCCACCTAATTTTAGACAGAGAGGAATAATTAGTGAAGTCATCCTTACACAAATCCTTACACTTTGGGGAGGACTCCCAGCCTCTCCCTGTTAATATTTCATAATTTAAAGTTTCTCATGATCAAGAAACCATTGTTGAGACTTCTTTGTTTCTGAATTCCCCTAAGCCATCAATACCAGAGGCCACTCCAGTTAAACACATAAAGCCGAGTAGCTTATGCAATGGCCCTCTCACCTCGCTTTCCCAAGACTCCCTTTTCTGGTAATCTCCTTAGTCTCCTTAGTCTAGGGACAGGCCCAGCCATGCTCTCACTCTACTCAGAGCATCTTCTATCCAGTCTTTAGGATGACCCTCTTAAGTTGGGACCTGCTCAGAGCATCTATCCAGTCTTAGGATGACCCTTTTAAGTTGGGACCTGCACACAAAAAACTTCTTCACAAGTCTGAACCCTTAATCAAGGAAGTTTCCTTTGGAGGACCTACAGGTCTAGTTCCAATCAGAAAACCACAGAAAGAGGCTTCGTACCATGGCATAGTAGCCATCACTGGCCAAGATGATCACATCAATGGGAGATGTATGATTAGCCACACAGATACCACCATTTCTTGGTCTGTTTTTCCTGTAATATAAAATATAAGCAAAGCAACAAAAATGGCATGAATCAATATGTTTGGAACATACCTTTCCCCCTCAGAAGCATCACTAGCTCCAGACAAATGTTAATGAGTAGCCTTCTTGTTAATATAAAGTTCCCTCACCTGTTGTGGTAGGTAATGATGGCTGTCAGGGCTCGAACACAGATTCGGTAGCACATTAAGTGGACATGTTTACTCAAAAACTCCTTAAACCTGCAACAACAGGACAGCTGAGGTGCTGGTATATAAAAATAGGATAAGTTGCTGACTCCAACTATTTAACAGTGGACAAAGAACTTGTAGAAATATTAGCACCATGGTAAAACCTGCAAATGCATCTTTATATCCACATATGCAATCAAAGAAATGCAGAGACATGATGACATTCACCTGTTAGTGGTCGAAAAATAATATTCCAAGCATAGGGCAGCCAAAGTTTTGTTTCTTAGATTCCTGTCTCACAACTCACCATCCATAGCAGACATAACCTCTTTACCAGCCTCAGCAAAACAGATGTCTATGGGGGCTCAGAACTTCCCTAAGGGGGTAAAGTTTCCTTAAGAAAAGAAGGGTAATGGGGAAAAAAAAATCTACTCACACGCTAAGTTATTTGTCAATTTATGGAGCTAGCAGAACTATGCAATTAAACATCTTAAAGATTGGGAGTATACCAGCAATAGAGAACTCTCCCTGCAGAAACAAACAACATGCTGTAACAATCTTAATACCTGAGCCTGGACTCCCTTATGGTATCTGCCTTTCTTTACTCTAAAATGGGAAGATGGTGAGGGCTGAATTGGAAGAAGTGAGTACACACTGCTACTGTCTCATATCAATTACAAAACAGAAGCCATTTATTACAAACAGCACTGCCACGAAGACTCAAGGATTGGGTTGGCATCCAAAGCTGTAGTTGCCTCCATCGTCAGTCACCATGCTCAGAGCAAACTGCTGACATACACATTCACTGTACTCACCTCCCATTTGGTAGATATCCAACCATGGTAGTGCCCACTACCAATAGGCTAATCCCTGTGAATGCCAGCGCAATCCTGAAAGAAGACAAAATACAGTAAACCAGTTATTCAGTGAATATGTAAAGACAAAGGCAGGAATCATGAAAACACACGTAAGACCTGATAAGAGCTTCCCCTGGAAATGTGAGAAACCATTTGTATTGAGAGATGACTGCAATTCCAAATAGACAGTGGAACTCCCTCTTCAGCATTAGGCAGCTCCTAGACCCAACACCTGTCTGATCTTGCTTAGGTTGAACACCCTGGCAGAAGTAAAACCTCTGTCAAAAAGGAGATAGAGTTGGAAGGTACCAACATCTGGCATGCCAAACTGAGAAGAGCACAAAGAAGCAGAAGTCATCACTACTTCTGTACCAGAGAGACAAGTTTCAGGAAAGGCTATGTCTATGAAAGAGGGGCTAGGATTATATGATGTTCTCTGCCCTGTGTACAGTCTCCCCAACAAGCAAGTGGTCTTTAAGAAATCCTACTACTTCCTAATATGGTGCTTGGTGCACACCTTTAATCCCAGTACTTAGGAGGCAGAGGCAGGTAGACCTCTGTGAGTTCCAGGCCAGCCAGAAATACACAGTGAGACCCTGTCTCAAGGGGGAAAAAATAATACACACACACATGAAAAAGAAAGAAATTATTTCTGTCAGATATATAAAGGATATAAGGACTTGAAGGGATAGACCCCAGGGTAAAATGGACTAGTCATGGGGAAAAACAAACAAACAAACAAACAAACAAAAAACCACATTGTCCTTTATAAACGGAAAACAAGGCAAAGGGATTTGGGTAAGCTGTGCATACAGGCAGAGAAGCTTATACTAGCCTCCAAGGCTCAGGCTTACCTGAGTGGCAGAAGGAAGCAATATCGAATCAGTACTCCTAACCCCCAGAGGATGGTAAGTCGTAGGCTTATATATTGGAAATTGTAATTGGTTCTGCTCAGCAAGTTCCAGGATTCCAACTCCTCTGCAGAGAATCTCTTTGTCACTTCATCATCCATAATAGTCTCCATTCCTTTCCGGCAAAAGTAGAAAATATCAGAGAGCTCAAACTCCGGTGTCTTATCCAGAGCCTTGTTACTACCACTTCGACGAATTTCTTTAATTTCCTCTTCCAGAGAAGTGGGATCTTTTGCAATGATTCCTGCAAAAAAAAAAAAAAAAAAAACACCAATATCCTTAGTCAAGTGGCATGCTACTTGTGTATGAAGACTTGAGTTTTAAAGTACAAAGGATATATGTGTCATAGCTTGGATGTGGGTTGAATAGGCTCTCCAGAGTTTCATGAGCAGAAAGAGATAACCTTCAATACAACATGAGAAGTGCTGGGGCTTTAAGTGGTGGGATGTACCAAACTCTGATATATAAGCTTCCACCTAGGCTCATACTTGTAACACTATTTAAACTAAGTGAGTCACTCACACACACACACACACACACACACACACACACACGGCATGAAAGTAGTGAGAAAAAGAAAGGAAGGATGAGATGGGAAATAGGGGGCAAAAGGACTAAAATTCATTATATACTTTGTATAAAACAAAAAAAAATCACCTGTATGATAAAAATCCTATAGGTGTGGTAGCAAATGCCTTTAATTGCTACACTCAGAGGCATAGGCAATCACATCTGTGAGTCTGAGGCCAGCCAGGGCTACATAGACAGACCCTGTCTTTAAACAAACAAACCTGGAATAAGAGATTAGCTAATGGGATTAGGTCATGGGACTGCTGTCTCTGCAGAGAGCAGCATTGGCCTTGCTCTGGGTGGGTGGGTGGGAGCTGCAGGGGTACATTCATTCCCATAAGATCAGGTTGGGGTTTTGGCAGATTTCTGGTTGTTTGCTTGTATTTGAGATAAGGTCTCAGTAGCAATGCTGGCCTTGAGCTCACTAAGCAGCTAAGGAGGCCTTTGAATTCCTGATTCTCCCATTTCTATCTTCCAAATGCTGGAATCACAGGCATGGGCCATTATGCCCAGCTCTTTAGATCAGTTTATTAAAAAAAAAAAAAAAAAAAAAAAAAAAGGTAAGCCTGATACCTCCTTACACTCTTGGGCCATTCCTTGCCACTAGAACCAATTCTTCCCTCCCTCCAGTCCTTTGGTACCATTTGCCATACTGCAATATGACCAAGGGACCTTCATCAGTGGTATTCCACTCTACCCAGGTTTTCTCTTCTGTCTCTCTGTGTGAAAGAGATTGATAGAGAGGGAGAGATTGTGTGTGTGTGTGTGTGTGTGTGTGTGTGTGTGTGTGTATTGTATGACACACAGGCTAGAGGTCAATGTGAGGTATCTTCTCCTATCACTCTCCCCACCACACACATTTTTACCAGGGTAACAGTGAACCTGAAGCTCTATGCTAGACTGGCTAGCCACTGGAAATCTGCTCTGGGAAATCTGCCTGTCTCTAGCCCCCCCCCCCCCCAGCACTGGGATTTTACAGGAGTACGTCACTGACTAACCCATGTAAATGCACAGCAAGCATTTTACTCACTAAACTAGCTGCCCAGCACCTGCCTGAGTTTTCTGCTTACCAGAAGGTCAAACTTTCTTCTACAAAGAATTTAAGGTATTCTGTTACAGGCAAGAGTAAGGACTAAGACTCTACAAGACATGGGTATTATTTCAGAGGCTCTTTTATACTAAGGCACACAATCCTACCGTTGGTGTAGGGCTTGTAAAGCTGGTGGTTCTTCTCCTTGGCTCCTCTCTCCATTCTCAAGGTAGCCCACTGAGGAGGAAAATGATAAAATGACAGCAACAGTGATATTCTTTTAATCAGCAATCACCCTACTTCTTTAGCATGTGAATAATTCTAGTTACCTAACATGAGGTAGCAGTCAAACAGCACACCTCCCAAAGAGAACTCACCCTGTCCACAGGGCTCCAACTTACTGACCAGGAACACACAGTGTTCCCAGCAGTAAAGCACTAAAAAGTCACAAAGCCATGACAAAGACATTCAGGGAGCTTTTCTCATTGCCTGGATCTGCCTCCAGGCACTTTGAAACTGGCTAGTAAAACATGTCTCCTTTAACTACAGCCTACCCTTGCAAGGATAACCATCATCACAGCATTTATATATTTGTGTAGGGTATGTGTGCGTATGGGGGTGGACGGACATGTGGAGGTCACAGGGACAACCTGTGAGGCGATGGTTGGTTCTCCTCCTTCCACCATGTGGATTCTGGGGATCAAATGAACAAAATTATCTGTGCATTTCCTGATGAAACCAGTAAACCCAGAGAACATAAAAGTAGATGCAACTGGTGATATGTCAAAGGAACAAAGAGTCTAAGAGATGAAATCTAAAAGATCCTGACTCATCATAGGCTGTTCTTTTACTTCAGGGTTCTTCTTCCTCTTTGGTAACTTTAGTGAATTTCCTCTGAGTCTGCAGTCTTCTACCTGATCCCATGACCAGTCAGAATCCCCCAAACACACTCAAACTAGTCAACCAGGTACATTCCAACTTGATGCTTAATTTATGTATTGGTGGGATAAACTGATGACCCCTTCCTGATGTATAAAAGAACATCTGACCTAGAAACAATTCACTAAAGTCAGGGTCTGTAGCTCAGTGGTAGAGTACTTGCCTCACCTCATGCATGAGGGCCTAGGTTTAATCTCTAAGACAAAAAGAAAGAAAAAGAAAGAAAGAAGAGAGAGAGAGAGAGGGAGGGAGGGAGGGAGGGAGGGAGGGAGGGAGAGAGGGGAGAAGGGAGAGGAAGGAGGAAGGAAAGAGGGAGGGACTGAGAGAGAGAAACCAATCACTGAAAATGTCCACATTCAAGAAGTGGGAATCAGACTACTTCCCTACAAAAGCCAAAGCCAGCAAAATTACCTGGAGAGCTTTGTAAAATTGCTCATGACATGACCAATGGATCGAGATACTGGTACCCAAAATAAGTACTTTTTTTTTTTTAGGGTCTTATGCATTTCAAACTGGCTTCAAACGCACCCAGGATGACCCCGAATTTCTGACTTCTGGCTACATCCTGAGCACTGGAGTAAGGATGTACTACTACATCCTGTTTTATATTGTGCTAGAGATTAAACCCAATGCTTTGTACATGCAAAACACACTTTCCTAAGCTATAGCCGCAGCCTAAAATAAGTACTTAAATGTTTCCCTGGATGATTAAAATGTGTAGTTAGTAAAACCAAAGAATTATGATAATCTTTTAGCTTTCTTCCAATTCTAAAATTATTCATATCATCCCAATTTAGGAAAATATGAAAAATCTTTTAAGAGGTAAAATAAGTCATTCTATGCCAGAGACAAAAATCTTTGTCCTCTAAAATTCTGCTGAAACCTAATCTCCAATATGATCTTATTCAGAGGTGAATAAGGTTAGGAAGGAAATGCCCTCAAGAATAAGGTTATAGGAGCTGAAGAGATAGTTTAGCTGATAAGATCACTTACTGCTCTTGAAGATTGGGTTTTGATTCCCAGCACCTACAATTAAGTAGTTCACAACCACATATACTTTCAATTACAAGGGATCTGACACCCTTTTCTGGTTTCCACTATATCTATACTCACACAATACACTTACATATACACATAAAACAATGAAATAACTTTTTTAAAAAAGGAATGGGGTTATAAAAGGGATCCCAGCAAGCTCCATCATCCTGAGGACACAGTAAAGTCTACAAACCAGGAAGTAGGCACTGACCAGACAATGCTGCCAGCACCTTGTTCTCAGAGAAACTTTGTTTTTATAGGTCATCTGTCTGTGACAGCAAAATGTTATAGTAGCCCAAATCTGGGCATTTCTTAAAACCAACCAAAAAACCAACCTAAGTTTGATAACATCTTAACCTGTACCTAAGTACTGTCACTGATAAAAGTAGCATCAATTCTGAGTCCATTAAGATTAATTCATGGGGTTGAGCTCATTGGTAGAGTGCATGCCTACCATGTATGAGTGCGTACACATACGTTTTTAAAATGGCAATTTCTAGGGGTAAGAAAGATGACTCAGTGCTTAAAGCACTTGCCATGCAAGCATTAGGACCAGAATCCAAATCCTCAGAACACATCTGACTGCCAGGTGGGCATGGTGGCCACCTGTAATTTCAGTCTCAGATGTCAGAGACTAGATCTCCACTACACACTGGCTAGAAAGACTAGACAGACACTCCGCTTCAATAACTAAGGTAGAAGAGCAACTGAGGAAAATGGGTAACATCAACCTCAGGCTCCCACATGCACAAATGCTCACCAACACTGCAGGCTAAAACGAACATAACCAAAATAAACATGACATCAAACAGGTACTCCTAACATGGGTTCACAGCAGCAATATTTATAGCAGCCAAAAGGTAGAAACAGTTCATCGAAGACAAATGCATAAGCAAATCATAGCACAGATACCTATTGAGTTATTATTCAACTACACCTAATACCCAAAAGTACCAGGAACGGCTACCATGCAGATGAGCTCTGAAAATACTAAGTCAAAGATGACAAACAAAGAAGGATAAATCATGTAGGATTCTACTCACAGGACATACCTAGAATAGGTCAATCCAAAGAACAAAGTTTGTACTAGCCAGGGCCTTGGAAGAGGAAACAAGGACAGACTACTGAGTGAAAAAAGGTCTTTTTCTTTAGTTTGGACTACCTTTGCATTAGTTATCCCCTACTATGGGATGACTGTTCCTGGCTTAAGCGCTTCCTCTGAAGTGACAGAAATGTGGCAGTAGGAGAGTTGGTGGCTGTATAACATGGACATACAGAATGCCACTGAACTGTGTTTAGAATGGCTGGTTTATGTGCTTATGTGTGCAGATCTGTAAATGCCTGTGCACTAAACTAAATGCAGATCCCAAGGAGGCCAGAGGTGTTGGATTCCCTTGGAGCTGAAGTTACAGGTGGTTATGAGTCACCAGATGTGGGTGCTGGGATTCACACTTAGGTCCTCTAGAAGAAGCAGTACATGCCCTTAACCCCTGCACCACCTCTCAAGCCCCACTTTGTTCTTACAAGGGCAGTGAATAATACAGAACTCAAAGGAACTAAAAGAATGTGGGAAAACAAATTAAAGACTGCACAGTGCTTACAAAGCTTGCCAGAGAACCACCAACTAAACCAAACAAACCTATAAGATATCACATGAACAAGTGCATTATATTATCCTGGTACATTACTCAAATTATGCACTTTCAGCTGTAGAAAAGAATTCCTGAGTATTTGGTGACTACTGAAAACATCTGCAACTAAAATAGCAACTGTCTGTCTACATATTAAAGTCTTGTAGCACAGGTCAACTTCTAGGAGATACTACTTCACATTTGCTTCCATTTAATACAACCAGTTCTGTTTGGCAGTACATTAAGTTCTGATGTATTCTCTATCTTTCTGAAAACTTGAAATGTTCTTTTCTGTGCATTCTTTTTGCATAAATGCAAGGACCAACCTCAGACTGCTGTGAGAGAAGATAAAAGGAGTCCATCAGTAGAAGCCTTATGCCCAACTACCTGTTCTGCATGAAGCACTTTCCGATGTCTAAGCCCCACTGTGATGTAGAGGGTAAAAGGACTACTGGTAAGAACCACTCTTCCTGCTAATGCCCTTCTCTCCCTTGTGAGGAAAACTATCACAACAGTACAACTTACCGCAAAGATCTTTAACAATGTTTTCATGTAGAGCTTTCGGATACCAAAGGAGACTCCAAAAATGGCAGGGACTATGATGAAAACAAGTAGCAGGGTGAAGAGGACAGTCAGGGAGATGCCCAGAAGGTTAACAATCAAGCTATCAAAAGGCAGCAACAGGAACATGGTGGAGGATGCAGGTCAGGCTGGTGCCCTCCTTTATATACACAAACACGATCTTCAGATGGTCCCTTCCAACAGCACAAGTCTTGAAAAGGAAGCCAGTCCCTTACAGGTGACAAACTCCATCTCAAAGTTCATGTCATCCAACTGCCTGAATACAGAACTGTGGCACAGAATAGTAGTAGAAAAGGGCCACAGTGGCACCCCAGAAATTCCAGGTCTCCCTGGCGCAGAGAGAGCTGTAGTCAATGAGGCAGGACAAGGCTTCAGGAACAGCATCCGAGTCCTGACTGAGTTTCCAGGCAAGTGAGTGGCAAAGGAGAGCTTTCGGCTATGTGGGTTGCTTCCAAGATTTTACTTTCTTCCTGCCCCAAAGCATTCAGCAGGTGAATTTGTCCTAAGGGTCTGTATTGCCAGAAATACCAAGAAGAGTCCAGCTTGGTGCCAGAAGAATCTTGATAACTCCAGTAGACAAGGGTAATTGCTGGCACTTCACACCAAAGGCTTCTCAATGTCAGTATACAGAAGTAAAATTCCTTCATAAGCTAAAACTGAGTTCACTGTAAAGAGTTCATAGCTGGTCCCATCTCCCTTGGGGGTGGGGGGCTCCTGGTGCTGGCTGCCCCAGGACCCTCCTACCCGGAGAGTCCCAGACTTTGCCAGTAACAAACAGAGGCTGGCACAGAATGTCTCATGCTGCCTGTACTGAGCACTATTCCAGACACGCCTGGCATTGGTGTCCTCTGATAGTCTTCTCCCTTAAGGCACCCTTCTCAGTGGTGACCTGGGTTCTTGGCAAAAGGTTGTTTACATGCTGCCAGAGCTGGGGATGGGAACAGAAACACCATCAGTCACACAAAGCAAAAGGAGAAATGTCAATGTGCTTCTATATGTGTGGCAAGAGAGAGCTGTTTTAGGGTGAACCAATAGACAGCTTCTCTAGTCATCAAGGTCAAAAGGAAGCAGGCAAATAGATACTCATATGGAAAAAACAAAACAAAAAAAGGTTTCCATGCTATTTTCAACGGCAACACCAACTTTCTGATAGTACATATTTTGTAAAGGTATAGCATGGAATGTAAATCGCATTCTGACTTGTCCCATAACAGGTAGGATTAGCTTTGTAATCGTCCCAATATAATTTCTATTCACACAGGGAAATCATTTGTTCCTGTCCCTCTCAGGACCAGGCAACAAAAATGAGGGCATTATTAACAAGCCACGCTGTTCACTTTGCTTTTTACTTAGTCTTAATTAACTTGGAAGAGAGTTCTGAGAGTAAAAACGAGCTCCCCCATTCTTTGGGGATGCACAGTGTGCACTAAAATAAAACATCAGGATTAAGGTAACTTATCTCCTAAGACTAGACACTACTAATTCTACCTTTTTGTTAAATATTGCTGTGTTAAAAAATCCTACTATATATGATTTAGTAACAGCAAAATTCCTAGAATAATAGAACTGTAGAGAAAAGGGAAATACATATTTAAACTTTTACAAGAGATTTATCACATATTTAGATATGTGATAAATTTAGGCCCTTCGGTCCACTACATTGGCACACCTCTAATCCCAGCACTCAGGACACAGAGGCAGGAGGATCTCTGTGAGTTTGAGGCTAGGCTGGTCTATAGATCAAGTGCCAGGGCAGGCTCCAAAGCTAAAGAGAAACCTTGTCTAAAAAAAGTAATCCAATATATAGTGCTCATTCCAAATTATAAGTTACGAATGCAAATCCTGAATTCTGAAGCAACCTATCAAATCCTTCTAGCAAAAATGTTTATCATGTGGTGTAGGGGATAGAACCCAGGGCATTCTCTGATAATACTAGGCAAATACTGTATAACAGAGCTACACCCCAGGAATGACCTCCCAGTTTTGTCCCTAATACATAGTTCAAGAAACTGAACAAATAGATACTGACTTACCACCAATTTTGATCAGTGTTGTATGAACTAATAATACATGTTATTGCAGGGCTGGTGAAGTAGCTTAGTGGGTAAAGGACCTTCCCAACAAGCTTAAGGCCCCGAGTTTGGTTCCCAGAACCCACATGGTACAATTAATTCCCACAAGTTGCCCTCTGGCTTCCACATATGTACCATGGAATATGCATATGTAGACACACACACACACACACACACACACACACACACACACAAAATAAGCAAATGTAAAAGAAAATGGTATCCCATTTGACACTGATCTGAAAGCATTATCCACACTGTCCTCATTTACTCTCCTGACAACTCTATGGTGGAGTCATCACCCCTACCATTTACAAATGAAGACAATAAAATTTAGGAGAGTACTAAACTTCCCAGAGTCACATAACCCATTATTACAGGAGACATCAGGATAAGGGATTGTCTCTTATTCCATGCTCTTAAACATCATTTACGGCTTTCTACATCTCAAACTACCCCGAACTAATCAGTACCTTACTTATGCAAGGTGTTCTAGGATTTCCTATTGAGAAAAACCACAGGATAGATCTGGAGTCATGTATCAGAATTTGCTGTTCTCAGAATCCAAGTACATGAGTGGTTTTTTTGTTTGTTTTATTTTTTCATTTTTATAAACTGGCTAAACCCATTATACGTGCCAGATTTCTAACCACATCCTCAAATTGACAGAGGAATTTGCATCACTGTGTTCCTTACACTTGTCAGGGCCTAGTCTAATTCAAGAGTCATACCTCCAGTCTACCCTCTACCCTGGCTCTGTTCCCCTTGGCTAGCATTCCCATGGGAAGATGCAGCAAGAGCCCTCTGTCCCACTGCCCAAGGTTACCTTTCGTTCCACAGGCCTGGCATGACTGTCACATATCAAATTTGGCCCATATGTCAAAGTTCTGAACATTCTTCTTTGCATCACAATCACTTGAGAATTCCCAAGGTTATTCTGGGTTCATGTCCCCAAAACACTAAAATAAACATATGTGGCAACACACTTATTTCTTCAGCTAGCTCAGAAGTTGGCCAACCACAGATATCTCACTATGGTTTGTTTTATAAGGCTCTAGAGCTTGGTATGACTTCTATAATTTTAAAGAGATATGGAAATAAGGAAACCAGGGCCTGCAAAAGCCTAAAATACTGACCAATGAGCCTTCACAGAAATGGCTTGCATCCATCCTTTTTTTCCACGACAGGTGGTGACCTCTCCCTTTCACCCCAACCCAGAGAACACTAAACTAGTCTGACAAGTTCTCTGGCCAACACCAATACATAAATTCTTAGAAGGCAAGGAAATAATAAACTGCAGTTATAAAATAATCTCCTATACACCTTGGAAGATTAGTAGAAATATTAAAGTCAGAAATAACTGAAATAATCAGAAAACTGCTCATTTAGAAGATATCACTTTGCCTCAAGTAACACTATGTGGTAGGGAAGCCATTAATTAGTATTTGCTTATTCTCTTAGCTTCCACAGTTAGATTCCTGCTAAACACTGAGAATCACATCAAAAGCCCTCCCCCAAAAACTACTCAACTGTTTTGGAGAAAAACAGAAGACCCAACTAGTTCTGAGTGTCAAGAAGGAAGACAGTTTCACCGTAGTCAGAACAGAGCCAACTGCTAAGCTAGCTAAATTTTTTAATCCTAAGCAGTCTCCAAATGTCCTCAATCCTTGGAGTGACTAATTCAATAAATACTCACTGGACAAATAATATGTGCTGGGTATATTGCTAACAGTGAACAAATAACCTATAGACAAGAATCAAGTGAAAAAGCAAACTTAAAGTCACTATTTCAAATTTTCATGATGGCTAAGTAGGAAAAGACAGGAGCCCCAGAAAATGTTGGGAAATGAATTATTTAAATTCCTTTAAACCTCTATGACAGTTCATATCTAGTCACAGGTATGTGGCAGGGGCTATTGCCACTCCTAAACACAGAAACATTTTCAAAAAGTATTCTAAGAAATAATTCTTATCTTCATCAGGTGACAATAATTGTCGGAATATGTAAAGAGATGTCACATGATAACTCTACAGAGATGATAAAATTGCCCTTTAATCAAAAATAAATGTTTAAGGCTGGTGGGATGGCGAGTAAACAGAAGCACTTGCTATGCAAATCTGATGATCCAAATATGATCTCTGGATGGAAGGAGAAAACTGACTCCAAATGCTATCTATCCTCTGATCTTTACATGTCCACACACATGCCCTCACATGTGTGCATGTACATGTACACACACACATACACACACACACTCTCTCTCTCTCAAAAATTAAAATTTAAATTGTTTAGACCAAACAAGGATAGATTTTTTTTTTAAAGCAAGTAAGTGTTTGTCACACATTAGATACCAATTAACAGTTCATACTCTGCAAGGAACTGTCCTAGTTAGCTGTATGTGTCAACTTTACACAGCTTTCACATACACAAATCTGTGGGAAGATTGTATAAGAAAGGTAGCTAAGAATAAATGAGCAAGCCAATCAGCAGTCTATCTGCTTAGTTTCCCTCACTGATGAACTACAACCTAGAAGACAAATGCATCCCCTTCTCACCTACAATTGGTATCTGCCACTGCAACATTAATAAAAGTAAAACAGGACCCAAAGAAAATAAAGATTATTTTGAGTTCTAAACAATACATTTTAAATAGTTTTAAAAGTAAAGGTATTTCATAGGGCACAAAATCCACACACAAAAAAAGATAATTAAAAAAATAAAAATTACATTCCCAGCAAGTACTCAAAAAAGGTAACTTAAAAAAAAAAAAAAAAGACTAAGTACTGGTGGCAAACGTCTTTAATCCCAGCACTCAGGAGGCAGAAGTAGGTGCATCTCTGTGAGTTCAAGGCCAGCCTGGCCTACAAAACTACATAGAGAAACCCTGTTTCTAAACATCGAAAAAAAAAAAAAGTTATTTACACCTTTATTGTAGTCCATGCATATAATTCCAGCACTCAGGATCTAAGCTCAAGGCTACTCTTACCTATAAAGTAAGTTTTCGGGAAGCTCAGAATACATAAGACTGTCTCAAAAACACCAACCAACCAACCAACCAACCGCACTATGATAAATTGTACCAAACCACTGTGTTGATGAAAATTATAAAATTCCTTCAAATGTCATTGGTTAAAGTGTTAACATG